CACAATTTTGCCAGTACCGTAAACAGCAAGTGTTGTTGGAATCGATAACACAAAAAGCAATAAAACAGCTAAAGAACATAAAAAATATCCGATGGTTATGAACCGAGAATAAATCATGTTCAAAAGAACGTCCTCATCGCTCACCCGTCTAATTACTCGTACTTTATCGCAATTCCGCAGCTCAACAAATCAAATCACTGAAGCTGCTTGGGTGAAATTCCTGACATACAACGAAAGGTCGACAGCTGCCATATCCACCACATGTCTGAAAAGACTATCCGTGAGGAATCACTCCTTCCTTGATATAACATAACCCCTACTGTCAAAAATGTGAAACAAGATGCTAGGAATCTTAAAACCTAACAGTTCCGCTATGCGACTAAAGATGCCGACAAAATAATCAAACTAAATGATTCATTGACATATACAAGGTGGGCTCTGCCAGCTAAACTAATCAACTGTCAGCATACTAAAAGTAGTATCCACAACGGCACAATGTCTAGCAATACAATTATTTACACTCAATTAATTGAGCCATAAATCTATAAGTGCACGTAAAACTTCTAACAGCAATATATGGTAATGAGTCTTCTACAGTAATTTTTCAGGGAAGTTAGGAAATGATATTAAGTAATTAATAAATTTTCACTGAATTTAAATACTATTTAATTTATCGTTTAGGCAATATAGTGTAGATTCACACAGTAGACAACTGATTTGAATCCAATACGGCCGAGACAACCTTTACATTGCGCTACGAATCGTCTGTGAGGCATCTAAATTTCTGAATAATAAGCTTGAATAGCTAGTGCGTTTAAGGATCCTACACTGGTTTTAAAGTGTCACGATCATTTAGTTGACTATTTAGGTTACATGGGGCCATCGATGTGTGAGATTTCATGTCCTAAATCTAAGATGTCCATCAGATAACAAGCTGTTAGCTTGACAAAAGACCCAGTAGTGTTTGACTTTTGGTGAAACTGTTTACTATCTATATGGAACTATATATTCGATTTGTTACCTACACCTACCCCAGTAAATATAACAATGTATAAGACTATTAATAAAGATTATGACAGAAGTCATGAAATTTTCAGGAAGATGAAGGCATTGCAGAGATATCGCGGAGCTAAACATGTTTAACAGAGGAGACAATCACAGGCTTTCAAAATCAATATGCGCCTGGAACCACCTTTAGAAAGGAAATTCATGAGGAAACACTGACGCGTAACTTCGAGCTGTTGCAAATAAAACTAAATAACCCATTCGATGTCCCTCATGGAAGGCAAGAAGAACAAACAGGAGAAGCAGTGCACTTCAATGCAATGCATCAGAATATAAAAAAGGCAGTCAAAGAAACGAAGGAAAGATTTTCTAAAACAGAGAAGGTCAACAGTAAAAGCACGAAGCAAATAAACGAATTAATGAATGAAAAAAATGAAGACAGCAACATATCACAAATCAAAGGTCGAATATGTTAAATTTTTCAAAACTTTAAGGAACGAATAAAAGAGATCTGAGCGTTGAACTACAGAGTGAGAAACGAAATTTCTGGAAATAGCTTATGCGTGAAGAAATTAAAGGAATGACTGATGGCTGGGAAGCAATCAATTACAGCTCTCGAAGCAGAAGACCGGATTATCATCAGTGGTACATAAGAGATTTCAGAGTGGCCGATTTCAATAGAAAATTGTACACAGACGAAAACAACACCACGAAAAGGAATACGAAGACTGGTGATCAGAAAACGACAAATTTTAACTTGCCGAGAACTGTCATCATGGACAGATAACAGATCCTCGAAGAGAGTCTAAGGCTTCTATAAAGAACCGTTGGGTATCTAAAAACACAAATTGTTTAATTACTAATAAGGAATTCGAAGAAACAGAGGACAGCATTCGACACATATCGACGGCTCCTTCAAAAATCGAACTCGAACCCATCTGGTTCCACATATTTCGCCTCCACTAATCTCTGTCCCTGGTTATCTGTCTCTACAGATGGTCGTCAAGTTGAAAGATAAAATCTCTCTATTTTTCAAAGCTTAGGCATATTTTTATAGTTCGCGTAGACCTGAGTCGTTTACAGCTATATCCAAGCCCTGTGCCCAGCCGAACATACGTCACTTCATCAGCTTTCGTCTATAATCTGCTTTTGCTGCCTGATGACTTCGTTGGGGGATACGATAATGCATTGAAATCCGAAGCATCTATCCTTCGATCGCGCCCTCCACTAATGTTCCTCCTGAGCTTTCGTCAGCGGTTATTTTTCTTTATCCTACAGCACTGTTGACGGTGCAATCCAGGCACAGCAGTTTGTGCATGTCTCTCCAGATTCGCCCTCTCAAAATTACCTTGACGAACTTATAGCTACGTCATCATATTCTCTTTCGCCTTGAGATATACAGCGGTAATGTCATGATAATTTTTACTTCTCGACTGCTTAACATTTTCCTTTTTCCGTTTCGCCAAAATTACATCAGATAACAGAAAGATGGTTTTCGCTAAATTAATACTGATCTGTCTGCTTTCAACGAAAGAATAACATAATAATGAATGTATTAATGCCAGTGTTCAACAACTTCTAATCATGTGACTCTTGGTCTGTTTCATAATTAGTTGATATACTGCATTTCGAAGAGAGTCCATCTTACCAATCTCTCGTCACCATGATTACATGCCCAAGCTCCGTCGCCGCTGCGCTCCTCCGATTTGGAAAAGTAGCTCAAGCATTAGAATATTTAGGATCGCCGTATTCTGAATCCAGCTAAATTCAGTCATATCAGCAATCTTTAGGAGGAACCTGATTTTTTCTATTAATTCTCCAGATTTACATGGAGTAGTCGCACGATCTCCTTGCTTCTAATGACATAAGCGAACGTTTAATCAGGCCACGGCAATATGGTATTTTAGCACGTATAGTGCATCGATGCGAAACTGCATCAATGTGAAGAAAAGTGCAACAACAGACAAGAATGGATACAAATAACTCAATAATATAAATATCGATCACAAACAGACATTAACTAATGGCGCCTTTACACAAACTTGACTGATCACAATTATTCCAAAGCAATGTCCAATGAATTTACTAGTAGACCGGTTGGTTCAACATGCATCTGACAGCAAAGTACGGTAAACATGAGTCAGAAAACATCATGGTAAAAGTATACCATAATAATAAAAATACTGCTTCAGAATATAAATTTGCATGAGTAAAAAATTTTATTCTAGTTATAACGATTCTAAATCATCACTAAACAGACTATGGAAAACAGAAAAAGATACAAAACCTCTGTTCAATTAATCACTTTCTCTCTGAGCATTCTTTGTACTTCATACACGTGTTCATAATCCAAACGGGAAAAGGGAGCGGCTAACGTTAAAATTCATACGAATGAATCTGCAAACCTTATTTTTTGTTCTTCTAACCACTCCTTGATCTGCATACTTGAAGAACCACAAGTTTTCTCCACGTATTTATAATATGACAGCCTGATAATTCTGAAGGCTTCAGGGGTTGCATATGGAAGCTTGGTTATGGGATCGACGTATTTTGCAGGCAGTCCAGTCACGGCACAGAATTTTGGTTCTTTTAACGGGACAGTCTGCGTCCTCAAAGGGAAATACTTACGAAACGTTTGAATGTCGTGGAAAGTTATGAAAGTTCTTTCGGCAAAATCTGTTGAATTATTTGTGGGTTCACTTAATTGTGTCAAGTGAGAATGAAACCGTTCATCATCGAAGTTCGTTCCCTCTGAAGAGTGCAGACTATCGTCGTCCATATACGTTGGCCTAAAATTATCGTTTATTATAACCAATTCATAAAGCTGATCGAATTTAAAAATTATTGTTGTACAAACGCCCAGTGACAATTAAATGTCCTTACCCGGTAGTGACTGGAGATGGAACAGTAGGCATCTTGATAGACAAGAAAGAAATGGGTGCTGATACTTTTCGTCGTTTACGTATCTGAGTGAAAAGTTTCTGCTTTTCTGTCTCGTATTTTGTGTAACGTTCTAAAAGATGAGGCTGAAAACCAATTCCATTTCGAAAATGGATACTCACCGAGAGATCTTTCATTTAATTTTTCGGTGATCTTCGCTTCTTCTAGCATTTGCTCTTGTGTCAACGGCACATATTCTGGAACTACGGACTTCTTGCTTTTCTTATGCAGACTTCGACGACGCTCCGAATCTTCCGACTTTTGCAAAGTCGACTCGCGAAATTGTTTACCTAATTAACTTAGCTTGACTTTTCAAAATTACTTTTAACAAACT